CAAAAGTTTTGGTTACTTGAGTGTGCTAGAAGATTTCATGATAAAAAGTGATGTGATGGTAGTGGTTGAAGAGAAATCATGGCATACTTACCATTTCTTTTCTCCCACCTAGACCGGCCATGTTTAAGATGTTTTAAGCAAAATTTTGTTTAGTTAAGTGGACTAAAAGATGTAATGAAGAGATAAACCAAATCACGTAGTTGTCTATAAATAGAACCAATGTGATCTAAGCCTCACTTTTTGCTTTATCTTACTTCTTTCTCCATATCCAAAACTGGTTCTACAAAACTGAGCCATCCCTTACCTCACATACACTCAAAAGTTCTCATATATCTCACCACAAATCCTAGTTTAAGTTGAAGGAGAAGAGGAGGATCTCAAAGGTTTTCAAGAGAGAGTTCTTCATGTTGGTTACTAAATCGAATTCGGATGCAGAAACGTGAGGGAGGCGGATCAAGTATAACAAAAATTTTCACAAAACTTTTGAGATACTCTATAGATTATATTAATTTATGCATGAATAAATTAATCATATTAATTTATTTATTAAGAACTCAATTAGGGAAAATACATGGAGGCCGATTAGGATGATAACTTGAGTTCTTTGATCTCGAACAATCCTTGCTCCAAAGCCTTGTGTTTAGAAATTAAAGTCTTCCACGTCAATTCCTTGAATCTACGTAGACATGTGTGTGGGCACACTTGAGACAAAGCGGGTTGGAACAAACACTCAAATTTCTACAAACACCAACGCATGCACAATGTGGAATTTTTTGGAGAAAAATTTTCCTTCTCTCTCTACAAGGGATTTCGGCCAGCCCTCATAAATTTAGGTCAAAAAATTGTCACAAGCAATTTTCTATTATTCCCTTATTTATAGAGTAGAAGTCAAACTTCTAGAAGGAATCAAATCTCTATCTACTATATAAAGCTTGTTAATTATCTCCTATTTGAATTTGGAACAAAAAAACTCCTCTTCCTTATCCTTAAGATGGCCGGCCAACCTTAGGTAATCCTATCCCTGTGGTAGGCGCCAAATACAGATAGGGAAGGAAGAGAAAATCATCATTTATCCTGTAGTCCAATTTTAATTCAAATTCAAATTCGAATTTAAGTCAAACTTAAATTAATTTGAATTCTAAATTGAACAACTTATCAAATAAGTTTAAATGGATAAATCTAGATGTGTTCAAATTCAAATTTAAATAATCACATTATTTAAATAATAATTAATTATTTTCGAGTATTTAATTTTTAGAATTCTGTAATTCTAAAAAAATCTCATTTTGCCCTTTGTGTCTGGCAGAATTGCAAGGACGACGCGGGGACTAATGGACCTATAATCCCGAGCTCCAATAAAATTAATAATTCATTAAACACTTTAATTAATTAATTAATTCCATTAATTCCAATAGTTACTCCACTATAAACTTGGAATTGCACTCTCGAAATTATAGACATTAATTACTTCTAAACTGTGAAGTGTCCATTTGATATAGTCATTGCATATAGATCAATCCTCCATAAATAATTCATAATTAGAGCCAGGTAGAATCCGTTAACCTCTCTAATTATATCTTCATTCTTAAGTACCATTGATTCTCTAATGGATAGTGATTCATAAAACACTTCATGAACCAGAGTGCTCTTACTAATCCAAGTACCGAATCAACACTCAAGAGAATTATTTATCTACTTCTTTCTCAAGAAGGAATGGATTCCATCTCGTATAATAACATTCCCAGCTACCTACTTCATCATGTCTCCAAAATACAAGGAATAAGATTTAGCGTCTCGGAATCTGTACCGAGTAAATCAAAAGACACAAATCCATAAATAGAAGTTTGTTAAGAACTCAAGATTAAGATCATTCTATATATGACCATCGGTAGACTCAATTAGAATTTCTATACTTAACAAAAATTATTAGAAATTCATATTGTGTCTGTGTCCCTGTTCCACATAATCTCATTATGCGAAATACAATCATTCAATATCTCACCATATTAATAGTGCGGCTAGCACCGTTCCATTCTAAATGAGAATGACATGTATTAATAATGTTTTAATTAAAGATTCTGAACTTTAATTAAATTCATTATGAATAATATTTTTGATTATTATCCTTAAACATTATCCTCTCGTATATAACACTTATATACAATGTTTAAGGTTACATAAATAATCATGGAATTTTCATTTGATATTCATAAAATATTCATAAATATATGCACATAAAATGATGAATAAACTCTTTTATTAAATAAATAATAAATATCATGTTACATCTCATGCTTCTAGGACACCATTCCTAACACTTTAAGGGTAATTTCTTGAACTCTTCTCTATTATTTTTCTAGCCAACTTTAAGCTTGAAATTATGGATGTAAATTGTGGTCCTTTGAGGCTATAGTTTGTAATAAGGGTGTGTGAGTTTTAAGTTAGTTTTGTGTGTTTTGAGGTTAGTTGGATTAGTATTGTGTTGTAGGCTTATGTTTGGTTTAAGTTGCTTATTTTGGGTTGGAGAAAAAATTTTCCAGTTACTTTGAACGCGAAAATGAGGACCCTAGAGCGAGATTTTTCAGTATTTCTAAACTTAAACTTATGGTTCTCGATGTTTTGAACGTTTTTCTGTGATTGTGATAAAACTCAATTTTAACTCCAAATGCAAGTTTTAAGCCATTTTGTAAAAACGGGACAGGCTGTCCAACACAGTTTCGGAAAAAACTGCAGCCACTGTTTTTAGCCAAACGAGGCCCCTAGAGGCTGAATTTCAATTTTCTCTAAAAATAACAATTTTAGATCTCGATGAGGTGAAGAATTGTCAAGAAGAACAGATTTTCAAAATCCGACCCTAAGATATAGTAAAACGCAGATTTCAAAAACTGCACGGTTTTAACTAAACAAAACTAACACAGTGGTAATTTTAACAAAAGGTTATCAAAGAACCTGAGAAAGGATTTCAGTAAAATACTATGGTTTTAGGCCTCGCTTGAACGAGGAATAGCCGTGAAGAATGATTTAAAAAAAAAAAAGGGTTTCTACAACATAGTTTCACGGTAGTTTACAAATTAACCGTAAAATGACTTGTGGAATAGTTTCAAAAGTCGGTAGTCGAAAAGAGATTTTATAATGAGATTTTAGTGCTTGTAATTGAATAGTGAGTAATCGGTTTTATAAAAAAAATCGAATGATAGTTTCTTTTAAAAGCTTAATAGTTTTTGGGCAAAACATCCCGATGGGCACTTGCGAGCTAAATATGTTAGGCCCCTAGAATTTTAAAGTTAGATGCGAGTCCAATGGCCGTATTAGTTCAACAACCCCGTTTGAGTTTAAATTTCAACGGCCTAAGAGTTAGAATGCCGTGAATAAGTTCTAGGCTGAATTGGACCTTAATATCATAATAAGTCCAATGTGGTAAATTATGGAGAATAAGCTACTAGATTGGGTAATTGATTTTTAACCTAGACATAAGTATGTTAAGGACAATTAAGGAAAATAAGATTGTAAGGATTTAATAAATTGATTCTTATAGTAAATTATCCTTCAGTAAAGGAAAGGAATACATGCCTTAAGTAAAGGGCTAGATTTCCTTCATAAGCTGCTAAAATAGAATAGCAAACGACAGATAATCTCACACTCTCAATGGGTGTTCATTTTCAGAAGTAAGCAAGTAAGAGAATGGCCTGTTTGGCAAAAAGTGGATTCCAGCTCTGTAAATCAGGTAAGTAGGAATCTCGCCTACAGTATGAATAGATTTTAAAGAAAAAGTTACACGTGTTATATATACATGTTTATGCTTTAAGTATTGTATGTGATGCTATGTCATGCTGCATACACTTAAGCAGTGCACATGAATTATATGTGTTTGAGTACATTTAATGTTATGTATGATATGCTAGGTCATACCGCATACGCTTAAGCATTGCACACTAATTATATGTGTTTGAGTACATTTCATGTTATAGTATGCTATGCTATGTCATATTGCATACACCTTAATAAGTCAAGAAGAACTTATAAGAATAATCTCAGTTGAGTGTCGTACTAGCCTCTGAAAGGGAGGTGACTCAGGCTCCCAAGGGAGAAGAAAAAAAATAATAATGTCCTCTAAGAGGAAGGCATTCAATTCAGTTATAATCGCAGTATCATGGGGGACCTTGCAAACCCTCACGTCCTGATGATTGCGTGCAAGTGGTACGAGCACTCAGACCCATCAGTAAGAAAGATAAGATAATAAGACTATGATAAGACATCATAATTAAGCATAATCAGCTCATGCATATTTATTCATGTGTAGTTACAGTTATTTTGCGAGAGATAGTTCCTACTTGCTGAACAAAAGCTCAATCAGATATGTTCATGCTGTAGGTAAGAAACCTATCAGCAATTCTTGAAGGGCAATGGCAAGCGGCGGACGAATGGTGGAGATGGGAATGGATACCGCTTACAAATATTTTCTCAATCAGTTTTATGTTATAAATAGTTTTGCTAATTATGATTCGTAAACTATATGTTAAATGGTTTTGTGGATTATGATTGTTAGTGAGCAAACTTATGGAGTAAGTATATACATATATATATCCATATGTTTTGATAAACATACATGTTAAGAGTTAAATATTTGATCAAGAAAACAATTCGTAACATATGTCGTATTAGTAAGTTTTTTCTAAAAAGAATGCTACAGCATTCCTACAGCACTTTAAAAAGAATGCTACAACATTCTTACACCATTTTAAAAAAAGAATACTATAGCATTTTAAAAAGAATGCTACAGCATTCCTACAACATTTTAACATGCTACAGCATTCTAAGTAACATTTATCAAAAAAAAAAATGTTCCGCAAATTTTAAGAAATCCCAATAAGTACGAGTTAATTTTCAGTTACGGTGACGGCCACCCAGGAGGATCACAGCAATAATCTTATTTATTGCACTCTATAATCCCCTAATCTAAATAGCTAATAAATATGATAATAATATTTAATATACCAGGGGAAAACAATCAATAAAACTCTGTTCCAACAAAAATCTACAAGCCATAGATAAAGAATGATTACAGGCTTACAGCTATATACATAATGGAATAAAATTAATCCAACTCTAAAACCAAAGAATATATTTTTATGTACAGCAAATGCAAAAGCATTTGCATTTAGAAGCATCACCAGAAACAAGAACAGAAACCCTTTTGTTACATCCTCTTGTTTGTTCGTCACAACTCGAAAAGCATGGATTCTTTTCTTATCTGCTTCCGCTGTGGTAAACTCTTAAAACAATTTCATCACCACTGTTCACTCCATGAAGTCTCTAGTTTATGATATTCCACCATTTCTTCTTCTTCCTTGTGCACGATGCGGGAAACTCTACACGAAAAAAAAAAATTACAAGAAAATTAATCAAAATCATATCGCAAAACAATGTCAGATAATACAAAATTTTTGCCTTGACGCTGCAAGATTCGCAAGAAACATCAGCCGATGGACCCCCATATAATCTTTTATCAGATCATCAAACACAAAAATGAGTATTGACTGTGAATTGGCACTTTGAAGACTATGATAAGCTTTTTTTTCATTTAAAACAAAAAAAAAAAAGAGATCAGGTTTTTCAATGCCTATCATCCTCAAGACATATCTATACACTGATATAGAAAGTGTTACAAATAATAATTTACGAACAATTCATGGGAAAATGGGCACTGTTTTACGGGGAAAGTAAGAGTTCATGGAGATGAACTAACATGATTTTTTATTCTTTGACAGAACTATTGTAATCCTATCGACTAGAAATTGCACCATTTCATTCGTCTAATCGTTCAAGTTGTAAACCCGCTCACCTCCTTCCGGATAAATTGAATTGTAATGCACCTCGGCCCAAAAGCTCAAGAAAATGACTGCACAAGCCACAAACTAACGTCACCACTCGTGACATATGAAAGATATTTACTTAGACTCAATGCTTATTGCCTTATACCAAAATACGAAAATTGAAAAGTTAAAACTTGCCTCGATTGGACTTTTGAGCATGTGGAAGAATCTCTATGGAACAGGTATCCTTAAATGAAGTTATCACAAATACTTTGACACCATACTGCAAGCACAGCGGTCAAATTGGCAAAAGTCCAAAAGTTGTATGATGCCATGAAGAAAAAAAGGGTGGACGAAAAATACAACTATTACTGCCAATGAAAAGAACATCGGAAGAACATGTAACTTTAGTTCACACAATCGAATATTCATATATAAAGTAAACCTAAAAGAAAGAAAAGGGAACACAAAATGTTAAGTTTTCCTCTATACCCAATCAGCAGCAGCCTGCAACGTAACATGATCACCCCATTCACCACTCCTGATTCATCCAGATGAGAGATTATAAGAACGAAAATTATGTAATAAAATTTGGATGGAAACCACAACCACAAAGGAAAAGAATAATACTTGCTCATTTTCTTTAGATAGTCAACATAGGCCATAGGAACATAACCTTCGTACATCTCGGGATGACCCTTCAACTATCACATCAGAAAGAGGGAAAATATTTCGAACACCGAAAAAAAAAAGTGCAATTATGAAATAAGGCTCAATCTAAAAGCACGCATCACTAGTGCAGGCCAAACCTGTTCAACAATTTGCTGTCTGACAAAACCATGGTGCTCGGCAGACCGATAGAGTTGATCTGATAATGCGCGGAACTGAGAATAATATGAAACAAGTGATAAATTTTCAAATTAATAAAATAGACGAGGGGTCAATATTAGAAATTCATGCATATATATTCACCAACATTAGAAACGCATGCATATATATTCACCAACGACAAGTACTCTTAGACCAACAATTTTCCATTTCTTAGCCGCTAATTCAATTAATTCATTTTCAAATATGAGAAAAATAAAGAGAAGGGGAGGAGGATAAAACCTCAATATGCATAATAACATAATATTTCACATATTTCAGAAAAAAGAAAGAAAGAAAGATAAATAGCGAGTTAAAATGATAACAGACCTGACAATTACCATCTCCTTGAACCCTCCGCTCAACCAGATCATATAACTGCAGTCTATAAAAGGGCAAAAGTTTTACTTATCAAAACATCAATCACCAAAATAAAAAGACCATTAAAATAATAGAGGATTACAAAATTATCAGAGTTTATATGTGTATGCCCGCTAATGAGAGTCATGAGACTATGATCCGCCACTTGTTGACGAAAAATTTTAACATCCTACGGTCCCATTTTCTGTCTGTTGTTACAATTCCTTAAAACTAGCAGTTTCCTCCTTCAGACCAATTACTCAAAACAGACATAACTTTTGTTATTTCAAAGAGTATGAAGATGAGCTTTTTTTATTATAAGAAAGATAAAATACACATGTGAAAACGTAAGAAATGGAAAATTTTGCACAAGACCTTTCAAGAAGCCTCTCATGATCTGATATCTCTTCATCAACCGAGGGAACTTTTTCAATCGTCCTAGGAACATGCTGCCAAATAACATAATAACATCAACGCCAGTATGGCCTAGAATTTGAAAGCCAAATCCAAACGGCTAATCAAAACACACGTATTACATCAAACAAATTTAAAAAAAAATTAAAAAGGTCAAAGTAGCCAAGAGTTTTATCTTCTTTTTGGAAGCCAACAATCCAATTCAGATTATATATACTAATGATGACCTATTTTGTCATTTGGTTGCAAAAATTCCCTAATAGTTATATACTTACAGGAACTGGAACCATTTGATTGAGTCTTCTTCCTACTTCGCTGTCAAGAGAAGACTCATCTGTTATGTCCAATTCATGAAGCCATTCTTCCGCGTCTGTCAAGTTTTCTCCTCGGCTTTCATCCGGGATAGGATATGTAAAGACAGTTGGCATCTGATAATTCTGAGCCTCTTCATTTATTATTCTGCTAGAATCATCTCCGTCTTTATTTTCTGTGTAGTCATCTGTTGGAATTTCTCTGTTACTGTGATCCTCCATGGTCCCTTTACTATCATGACCATTTTCCATCTTCCAACCATTCTCATTCCCTACATATCATTACCGCTCACATCACAAGAATAAGGACACAAAAAAGGGCAAAAATGGACAACGTGAACAAACAAAAAATAATAATAATCTAACTTTCCGAATTTCCAAAATTAGAACTACCGTGTCTTTTAGAAGGGCCAAGCCAATCCTGTGCAATAATTGACGCTTGATAGTGCTCTTCATCGAAATCAGGACGTCCTGAGGCCTCCGCTGAAGCAAGTCTCGACAACTCTTCTTGGTAAGCATAAGCTATAACTTCATCGTTCTCCACATTACAAGGCTCAACAACATAGCCTTCTCTAACATACTCCACTTTACTCACATCCGCGTCATATCCAGTAACAGTACTACGAGAGGTGTCGTTCGCAAGCGTGCAAACATCTAACAGATGCAGACCCCACCGCTCAACGTCGGGATCTAACTTATATGTCGCCATTGCTTCGCATAACAATCAAACAACTTCTGTCCGTTCAAACAACTATACAACCTCTCGCTATGCTCTATTCTCAATAAGTTTTGATAACTGCCAAGAAACAAGCAATCGTTTGGTAAGCATTAACCATGTTGGAAATTAAGCTTAAGATCGTAGAATCTATTTCCCCAAAACCCATCTCAATTTACAGAATTCACTTTCACAAGAACTACAATTCAAATAACATTTTTGTTTTTGTCTCAATAACACGTTCAACTTCAGTAATTATCCATATAAATAATTCTGTCTATTCTGCACCCACATAATTGAAATTTCAATTCTCCAAGCTACGCACCTCCAAAAGATCAGAAACAAACAATTCAATAGCAAAAATAAATAAATAAATAAAATATAACATTTATCAAATCTAAACAGACATTCTTAAATACAAACTTAAATTTTACTCAAAGAAACAAACTGCAAACAAATCCCAGAAAGGAAAAGGGAAAAAAAATAAACATAAAACCCTAATCCCACATCCCAGAACAATAAACTTTCCCATTTCGTGGAAGCAGAAACCAAAACAAATGAAAATAAGAATTCATATCAATCACACCAAGGGGGGGGAGGCAAAACCAAAACATAAATCGCTAATAAGAAATTTAACAAATTTAGATTTGGCGATCATCAATCTCAAAAAAAAAAAAAAAAAAAAAAAAAACTTACCCTTAAGGGAAGGCGGGGGAAAGAAAAGAACACCGAACAATAAACTTTCCCATTTCGTGGAAGCAGAAACCAAAACAAATGAAAATAAGAATTCATATCAATCACACCAAGGGGGGGGAGGCAAAACCAAAACATAAATCGCTAATAAGAAATTTAACAAATTTAGATTTGGCGATCATCAATCTCAAAAAAAAAAAAAAAAAAAAAAAAACCTTACCTTTAAGGTAAGGCTGGGACAAGAAGAGAACCACGGGCGCCAAGAAACCTGGACAAACAAACCAGAAAAGAGAGAAAAAAAAGAGAAAAAGAGGCTTTGAAGGCCACGCTATGAGTATGAAGTGGGGGCGTTAAAGTTCGAGCAAGTTGGAATACGGAACCGTAACGGGAAGTATATAGCGGAGATGGGGAAGTGGAAACTTGCCGTCCATTTAAGCCGTATTTGTTGAAAAAATAATTAAAATCACGCTCACTAAATAACAAAGGGCGCGCTCTTAGCTTTCGAGGCGTTGAGAAGATGAAACCGAAACCGCCATCTGTCCTACGTGGCAGTACTCTACCGGTTACCGGGAATTCCGGTCGGCCTCCACCTGTATTGTTCTCGGAGGATGTGGTTTAGGTACGAGGGTTTGGCACAAATCTGTATTTTTACACCCCGCCCTCAAGGAAACTTTTAATACAAAAAAAATAAAAGAAACAAGTTTTCTTTTAAAACCATTTTTAATTAAGCTCATTAGTTAATTAAATAAAAATTTAAGAAAAGTCGGTAAAAATTTGACGGCTACAAATTTGTTTCCTTCGTTTCACCGTTCAAATCATTACTTCACTTTTTAACTTACGGTAAAAATTTATATTACTGTATTCATATTCAACAATTTGGTTTCGTGGATGATCCAGAATTCTTAGCATGGTTTCAACGCTTTCTTAGGTAGTTATTAGATTCTTTTCGGAAGAACTAATTTTGCAACTTGATCTACACGTATTATCGTGTTGAAAACGTTTAAAGAGTTTATTATTAACCAAATAATAAAAAATTTATGTACACAACCATTTATTTAAAAAAAATATGTGTAAAGATAATAATTGACGGAAAAAATTAAGTAGAAACACTTTGAAGAAAATTATTTTAAACAACAAAAAAAAAATAAGAATATATGTGAAAAAATTATTCTCATAGGAGTAAAGTGGAGAATAACATGTTTTTAAAAAATACATAAAAAAATAACAAAAAAATAAAGATAAAAAAAGAAAAAAAAGAACTAAATAGAGGAATTTTGGCTCTTTTATGTATTATTAGATTAATGCTTTCCCACCTTTGTAGGATGTCAAACAATCTCACGTGGTTTGGAGTGCAATTGAGAGAATGTGGGCCTCACAAATCGTCTTAAACTCTTTCAATTTGCAAGTCTGACTTCAGAACACAAAAGAGAAAGGTGGATGAATGCGAGTACAGAACAGCCCATTTTGAGAATGCAAAATGTGTTTTCAAGATGTGATTTCGGAAATAAATATGGACGTGGGGGGTGCTACAATAACTTGTTTTAAGGTATTAAAATCTCTTTGGTGTTACGTTTTACAAGAGATTTCCTCTTACAAACTAGAAAATATATAATGCATAATATATGTTTATGTTAGGTCATGTACTAGTTGCTTGGTTGAGGATATTTTATCAGATACCTTGGCTTCAAGAGTCCTCCCTTGAATCTGTTGGAAAACCAAGCCAGTTTTAGCGTCGAATTTCTTGATGACATCGCCGAATTCGGCGTCTCCAATCTTTCAGGAGGGTTTAAAATCTCTTGTGGCCTTCTCCAGCTTTGAGAGTTGGAACTTTGTGTGAGGGTAGAGAGTACTAGGTGGTATTTCCAAGTCAAATTAATTTGCAATAGATTTCTCATAGCTTGTTGTTACTGTTTTTCAATTAGTAGTACAACTTTAAGAAGTCAAAACACATATACAGGTTATTGTTGGTGTCCCTTGAGGCCAACAAAAAGGTCTCATCTGCAATTGATTAAACTTTTCAAATTTGAAATTGTATTCCGTAGTAAGCAGAGAAAAGGAAGTAATATACACATTCAATTCAACTGCCAAAAAAAAAGGAGCATGTTTTGGTACATCAGCTACTTCATCCCAAAAAAAATGAAAAAATTAGTGTCATATTTTTCTCAAAAATTTGGTCAAGTCCTCACAACTTTAGGTCTCCATGTTTGCCACATCAAACAACCTTTTTCTCCAATGAATGGATCCGCAAGCTTTTTCAAAATCTCCCTTTTGGATCTTCTGGTTTCATCTTGTAGAGAGAGACTTTTTAGTGGAGTTTGGGGGCTTCCTATGTCTGCTGACTCCACAATTCGGCTCACCACGTCCAAGACTTCGCTCATTTTGGGACGTGATTTAGACTGTCGAACAAGGCATCGGTTGGCCACGGATGCCAGCTTTCTGGCAGACTTGAGTGAGTACTTCCCTTCAAGCCTCGGGTCCAAAATCTTCTGGAATTTTTTGGAGTCAGAGAGGTGTTGCCTGACCCATTCTAAAAGCTTTTGCTCGCTTCTGGGGCGGTTTCGGTCCAAAGGGCGCCTGCCCGTGATGAGTTCATAAAGGAAGACTCCATAGCTCCACACGTCGCTTTTTGCAGTGAGACGCCCCGTTTGAATGTACTCTGGGGCTGCATAGCCAATGGTTCCTACTACCTGCATAAAGCATGTGAAGTATTTTTTATGGACTAACCTTTGATTGAGAGATCACATGACTTTAACCAGAAAATCATATTGAAATAGTAAGTTTTAGTTTTTTGACTTTCCCTCAAAGCAATATTTGATGATCAAACTGATGTCAGACTTGTAAATTCAGCTGCCTAATTAACACTGATGCTATGAGAGTAGATTCTAAGCAAGCATACCGCAGTAGATATGTGACTTAATCCATCTGAAGGCCCTAATCTTGCCAGTCCAAAGTCCGACAATTTTGCGTTCCAATGCTCATCCAAAAGTATGTTTGAAGACTTGAAATCTCTAAAGATAATCTGTTGGAATGACAATATTCAAATGACTTCAGAACAAGTCAGAGAAATCATGCTATTGGAGAGTACCGAAGAATATGAACCTTAAAACACGTCATAAGCATATAATTTATGGCTATGCTATGGTCAGAATTCACCTGATTTGAGAATATGTTGATGGAAACTTAAGACCTAGAGAATATGAAAAAAAGGAAAAGAATAAAAGGCTTAGCCAGCATTTTCTTTTACTGCCTAAGTATTGAATCCATAATGAGCCTGTGGATTGTCCTCTAGGCGTAGTAGATCAAAGTTACATATTATTGTAGACTTGGAGTTGAGGTGGTGGGATCATCAATTCGTCACGAAGCCAACAAATACGTCAACTGCAAATGTACTATCAAAACGGGGAATGTGATCAATTTCAGCAATCTAGCTCTAATATTCACTGATCTGGTAGATGACAGAAGAAAAGTCTTGCAATCTTTCAGTGTGTCCCTTTAATCGACAAAATAATTCATTTGAGGCTCTGGTCTTAGAGACCAAAAGAAGAACTTTGTTCACTGAATCCATGATTACTATACTCCAATTTTTGCACTTAATTGGTTCCTTTTAATGCTATCATAACAAATCCCCAATTAAAACAACTTTACTAGAAATTTTTCGCAACCAAGAACTTAAACCATCCCTATACAAGTAAACTTCAAAAAGAAAAAAACTGAGAAGTACCTGAAACTCCATTTCTTCATGGAGGTAAGCTAAGCCGCGGGCAGCATCCCGGGCTATTTTCATCCTCGTGGCCCACGGAAGCGGCGTCTGAAACCGGCTTGACAAATGATCCTGAACACTTCTGTTGGGCATGAACTCGTATATCAGCAATCTCTGAATCCCTCTTTCATCATCCTCAGCACAGTAACCCAACAATTTGACAAGGTTTTGGTGTTCAACCACCCCCAAAACATTTACTTCTGTCACCCATTCTTTGTGGCCCTGCAAGAAAGGAGATCAAAAGATGAAGGATTTTGAAAATCAGATGTTTGAAAAGTACATCCTTATAGAAAGATGTCCTTTTCCATGCTTATGAGTTGAAGATTTATTTTTTTTCTAGTTTTTAGTATCTAAAATCTACAAATTTACATCAAGTTTCTTTGACGTATCTATTTTAGCATTACTAATTATTGAATTATATGATATGGTTAAAGCATACCATTAAATCAACCATAGAAAGAGAATAAAACTTGCCTGCAATCCTCTTCTACTTAGTTGTTTGACGGCAACATCGATCTTTTTGTGCTGATCTTCGGTGCTGCGAATCACACCCTTATACACACCACCAAAGCCGCCCTCCCCAACCATGAGAGATCGGCTGAAATTCTTAGTCGCCGATTTCAACTCCGAGAATGTGAATTCTCTGAGATTACTCTGCCTTTGAGACAATACTGCAAATGACTTGGCAGAAGATGTGCTAAATTCTGAGACATTCTGAGAATGAGATTCGGAGCTAGATCTCCTCATGTCGCGATCAGTTGACATGGAAGTAGAAGTAGAAGCCATGGAACTTGATTTTGTAGTCTTTGGCTCCTCATTTTTCTCTTTGTTGTAGAAGTAAAAACACTTCATTGTCCCAAAAATGTTGCTGACTTTGCTGCAGAACCACCATCCAAAGTGAAAAGACCTCTCAAACAAAGTCCAAAATCCTTTTAATTGATCAACAGTATCACTATGCTGAGGTTTAAGTACATGATTCCAAATCTTTGACTATGTCTCAGGTTTTAATGGAACTCAAAAGTCAAACTTACCTAAGGTTCCATTTTAAGTTACTTTAACAAAGAACAATATTATCACCAAGCTCATCATAAATAATAATAATAATAATAATAATAATAATAGCATTTGACACTTTCTAGAAACTACAGCCTTTCTAAACAACTCAATAGTCAAAATAAACTTTTGACCAATTTCAAGTTTCATCTTCTAACATCATATACATAACTTGTCTTGCTCTTCAGGCACCCATGTTCTAGGTATGGTCAATTTTTCAAAATACCACAACTTTCTCCTTCCAAAAGGTATGCTGGAAAAACTAGTAGGAGAATCCCTTAAACATAATTCTAAACGGTCATATTTTCATCGAATTTTGTTAAACTGTCGTACTCTTTTAATCTGATACGATCTCGCGGTTTAAAACCGTCTATCAAGGTTTTGTTTCTTACAACACCAATAGAACTGTCCAACTAAGATCCTATTATAGCATAAAAATTGAGAATCAGTTGATCAAACATTCTAGGTAACTACTTTGAATTTTCAAAACTCAAATTACCCATTTCAACTTTGCCCCAGAAAAGATGAATTCAATTAGATGAAAACTCATTGTTCAGCAAATTTTCCATTCCAAAACAAAACAAAACAATACCGGAAAAAAAAAAAATCACAAAATCTTAGTTGCAGAAGAAGAAAAAGAACAAGATGAAGATGAAGGACTAGAAGACTAACCTGTCATATGTTGTTTAGCAGATAGAAATGTTAATAAGCTTAAATTTTGGAAGTCCCAAAGGAGACCCAGAATTCAAAAAAGGTTACTTGAGAGCATCCAAGGGACCAAAACGAGCTCTCCATGATCCAAGGGAGGTCAATATGACGAGGCAGCTAGAATTTAGCTCACCAACCAAGAAACTCAATTAGAAAAATATGAAAAGAGCGAGAGAGAGAGAGAGACCTTCCCCAAAAGCATGTATAAAAGAGAAAAAAGAAATGGGAAGATTGATTGTTGGAGCAAAAAAAAGATGAGCTGTGACAAAAGGGTTCTTTGTGAAAGCGAAATCCGCGTTGGAATTTTGATAACTTTGTCCAAAAGAAAAGTCTCTAGCTGTTGATCGATAGCTGATTAATATCACAAAGACCAAGTCACCATCTCAGCTGTACAGTATTTGTGTATTATTAATATTTATTTAATTATTATTATTATTATTATTATTATAATTAAATGGCCATATTTTAGAAAAACAAAAAAACAAAAAACAATAAAAGAATTAAATGGGCATGTTTGAAATGGTAGTTAGAAGTTGGAAACCGCTCACTATATTGTCTGCTTCTGTGGCTGCTTGGTTGGTTCCTTTCTTTTTCTTCCCATAGTTTGGCAATCAAAAAAGATGACATTTTTCTTTTTAAATAAAAAGGCAAAAAGACAAAAAAGACAAAAGTGACTGTATACGACATCTTTTCTTTTTCTTTTTTCCTTTTGTCATTTTTAATTCCTTTTGAAAGTCGATAAAATATACACTGGTCACTTCGTTGAAGGAATTACCTGGCCATATTGACTGAGACCTAGACTTCTAGTTGGTTTTTGATCTTTTATTTATTTACTTATAATCTGTTTTCCGTTTCTGTTACTGATGTGAAATGAAATAATTAGATGCTCTGAAGTGTCACATATTAACTCAAGGTAATTAAAAAAAAAAGTGCTGCATCAAGCAATTGAACAAAAGACAAATATGGAGTAATTACTAATACGTGAGAAAATACAAGGAGAATTCTGTAACCGGCACCTAAAACACTAGTGATAATTACTAATCCAAATGATGAGCCGGCCCCGGAGAGAACGAGCTCTTGAAATTTGGTCCTCATCATGCTCATTTGGTTATAGGCTTTCTAGGGGTGGCGGCGGCGTACGGCGGCGCGTGGCACCGCGCTTCCGTTGGGGTGGATCAAAGGTGAGGTGGAAAATGGAGGTTGTTAATTTAAATCACCGTTCCTGTCGCTTTTGAAGTTTGGCGGCTGAGATTCTTCAGTTTTGATCTGCATGATGGTAGGAATCCTATAGTGGTGGCAGTACTATCTTACCTTGGCGATGGCGGTTGGGATTCACGTGCCTTTATTCATGTGACGCTTTAAAATTGTCGTCTATCTCTCGGCCTTTATTTCTTACTTTGGTAGTTTTTTCCTTGGTCGTCTTTTTGTTGGAGTCTTTGATTCCGGTGCTTCAGTTTTTTCTTTAATTTTTCTTTGCCTTTTGATTTGTAATAGTGGCAGTTTAACCCAATTTGGTGGTGTCTTTGTCTCATCTTCTAATATTAGGTTCTATTTTCAGTTCTCTAGTTTTGATACTTAGTGGTGTTTAGTATAGCTTCTGTTGAGTCGTGTGGGTCGTTTTGACTCTCTTTTTATGTTTTGGGCTTTGATTGGCTTAGTTGGGCTTCATGTTTGGATTGTTTATTTTGAAATTGTCAAGAAATGTCGTACAGCTTTTGTTTGAGTCGTTTGGTTCCTTAAGTTATGCTGTGCGTTTTGACAAAATCTGGAGTTAGTCTTTCGAATTTGTTGAGTTCGTTCGAATAGAAGAAGATCAGCTTTTGGGTTCGTTCAAATAGAAGAAATCAGCTTCACAGTTTTGAGCTAAGATAAGGCTCTGAGGATTTCATGGAAAAGACCAAGATTGTGTTGGTATTTTGATTTAAACCAGGATTTGAAGTTAAAACAAATATCTGTTAAAGATTTTATTTTAGTTTGAATAAAAGGTTTATTCAAAACCGTATTTCATGATGATTTTGTTTTGAAGATCAAGATATCATCTATAAAGATATTGGAGTGCTGAGAATCTGGGCCAAGAAAATTAAAACTGGAATATGCGAAGCAGATTACGTGTTTTGAATTTTAAACTGATAACTGTCTTATCTGTAACTACAGATTCTGAGATAGATTCTAATTTTGAATTAGATCAATTTAAGGTTGTTGCACAAGGAATCAATAGATGGACTGAAATTCTGATAAAGTACAGCGTGCACAAGTTAAAGAGATAGAGCGTCCATCATCTTCGTTCTTTGAGAGAAGATTTTGTGAGCTTTCGGGAGAAGGTGTTTGAAGTCGAGTGGTGCTCGCCAAGGTAGCCATTTAGGGTGTTAGACACAGCGGCGTCGATAGTCAAGAGGGAGTCTTGAGTTGGTTAAGTCTTATTGGTGTCTGTAACTTTTTACCTATTAGTGGATTGCTTGATGTCTGGGCGTGGCCCCGTGGATGTAGGTCGGTTTGACTGAACCACGTTTAATAGTTGCATGGTATTTACTCTACTTTTGTGTTTTGCTTTGGTAATCCTTAATCAATTTTATAAGAAAACACGGTAAAAGCTCATAACCGGTTCTAACAATTGGTATCAGAGCGGGTCACAAACTACTGTGTTTGTGAGATCTTGGCATAACTGGTTGTTGCTCGTCTGAAGCAATGGACTCGCTGCGTGAAGGAGGTTTCGTGTCAAAGCCACCACTCTTGGAAGAATCGAATTATTCGTATTGGAAGGCCAGAATGAGAGCTTTCATTAAAGCCATTGATGAATAAGCTTGGAGGTCGATATTGACAGGATGGACGCATCCGACAACAACAGACAACAGCGGCAAGGTCACTTTGCAACCAGAAGAGACGTGGTCAACAGATGAAGATCGCCTAGCGAATTACAACTCGAAAGCACTCAATGTTGTTTTTAATGCTGTAGATATGAATCAGTTCAAACTGATTTCTACATGTGAATCGGCCAAAGAGGAGTGGGAGATAATTTAAATTGCTCATGAAGGCACTGCTGCTGTAAAGGTCTCTAAACTTCAAATCCTTACCACCAGGTTTGAAGAATTAAAAATGCATGAGGATGAATGCATTGCCAATTTTAATTCAAAATTGTGTGACATTGCTAATGAATCTTTTACTCTTGGAGAAAAGTATTCGGATGCAAAACTGGTAAGAAAGACTTTCAGATCACTACCTGAGAGGTTTACATACAAGGTTGCTACTATAAAAGAGGCTAAGGATGTTGACTTAATGAAACTTGATGAACTCATGGGTTCTCTTCGTACCTTCGAATTGAAATTTAAGAACAAGAAGGAGAAAGGAATGGCTTTTCGATCTGGAGTAGAATCACAGAGCAATCAAGAGGAATCTGAAGATGAAGGAAAACTAGAAGAATCTCTGGCGCTTCTCACAAAAAACTTCAAGAAGATTTTGAAGAAGATGAAAAAGAAGGGAAACTTCAAAGATTTCTCTCCTCAAGATTCAAAACAAACTGACTCAGATAAGAAGGGAAGAGGAATTCAATGCAGAGAGTGTGATGGATATGGTCATATACAAGCAGAGTGTGCAAACACTTTGAAGAAAAAGAAGAACAAGGCCATGAAGTCCACATGGAGTGATGATGAAAGTTCCAATGCAAGTTAAGATGAGGATGAAGAGCACAACAGTAATTTTGTTGCATTCAACGTGACTACAAACCTTTCAGACGGAAGAACCACCAGCAAGGATGCCTCTGTATCAGAATCTGTAGGTACAAAAATAAGCAAGAAGGATGTTTCCGCATAATCTGAATCTGATACTGATACAGACAGTGAGGAGGAAGACATTGATACTGAAGAGGTCCAGAAAGCATATGAAAAAATGTATTCCAAGTGGACAGTGGTTTCCAAGGTCAATATTTCCTTAGAATAGCAGGTTAAAAGCCTTAACAAGGAAAAGGAAGAACTTCAGGCCATAGTGACCAAGTACAAGTCTGAGGCTACAAAGAAGAAAAGGGATCTTGCAGAAACAAGACTGGAGTTAGAGCGAACTCAAAGAAACCTAAGGTTGCTGAACTCTGGAATGACTAAACTAGACCATCTCTTATCTCGACAAAAACCAAGTACCGATCACACTGGTCTTGGTTACACTGGTGAGAGTTCTGGTGCAAAATCGGCATTCGTGAAGGCCACAAACAAATCAGATGACAGCCATGAGCAGAATACTAAGGTAAGGTCAGGTATGAAATCTGTCACAAAACGCAAGCAGAAGCATTTTGTTCCTATCTGTCATTACTGCCACATACCTGGACACATAAGACCTTGGTGTTATAAGTATCAAAATGCTTTGAATAGAGGAATGCAGTTTTATCCACCTAATAATGGAAAACAAAAGAAATTCCCCACGTCCAAAATTGATCTAACCGATAGAAAAACAAGAAAAATTTGGGTTAAAAAATCTAATTTAAGATGTTTTGTCACATATACTTCTCTGAAAACTAGTACTACTGACTCTTGGTACTTTGACAGTGGTTGTTCTAGACATATGACAGGTGATCGAAATATTCTAACAGATTATCGAAGTTCATCTGAAGGACACGTGACCTTTGGTGATGGAGTCAGAGCCTATGTTCTTGGTAAGGGAACACTGAATGTGAATGGATTCCTAAGGTTCAAGAACGTGCTACATGTGGACAGACTCAAGGCAAACTTCATCAGTATAAGTCAACTGTGTGATCAAGATTTGTTTGTCAAGTTCACAAAGGAAAAATGCCAAGTGTTTGACTCTAACGATTCATGTGTTTTGGCAAGCTCTAGGTCTTCTGATAATTGTTATATACTCACGAGTCCACCATCACACACTCCTGCACACACGTGTCACAACACCACCTTGGATGCAACTGAGTTATGGCACCAAAGGCTGGGACACTTGAACTTTAAACACTGACCAAGATTGTTAGTGTAGGAGCTGTTCGTGGAGTACCTAAGCTAGGTAAGAAAATGCCAGGAGTGTGTGGTCCATGTCAACTTGGCAAGCAAACCAAGACCACACACAAGGTGTTACAACAAATTGCAACATCCAAGGTACTCGAGCTGTTGCATATGGATCTCATAGGTCCTATGCATGTTGAAAGCATTGCAGGTAAGAGATATGTTTATGTCTGTGTGGATGATTTTTCTAGGTAC